CCCTGGGCGCAGCCCCTTAAATATGTATCAAAAACTATCCAATCTTCCCTAAGTGGGCTTCCTGGGTTTCTGAGGATGCCGAGAATCAGGGATGCCAGTTCTGCCTGGCATGAAGTGTGCTGTCAATGCCCTATAGAAGTGGAAGTTTTCCCAGGTGGATTGCAGACTTGGATTAAGATCCAGGGTGTAAGCCCCCTAAATCCTAAACCCTAAACCCACTAGACCATGAACTCTGCAACTTACAGTCAAACACCGACCCAAAATCCCACACCTGCACTAGCCAAATGCGGCAGTTGAGCAAATTCGCCCTAGCATGCCTGTGCACATGAAGTCGAGGGCCTAGGGGCCAGGTAATCCGAAGCAGCTCACTCTAACATGAACCCCCCTCTCCGATCGACAAGGATCAAACGTAAACTAACTGGAACCTGTAATGATAAAGCCCGGAGGAAAGCGTTTTCAAATCAGAATTTCAATTTCCAGGGACGCATGTATTCCAAAACCCGGAGAAAAGGGGTGGTATAGTCTTGATAGAAAGGGGAGCATGCAGACCTCTACGCCACCCGCTTCCCACGACACTCCCAATTTATGAATTTTACTACAGTTGAGGACAAAGGGCCCAAAAGAGAAGGTGGGTCGTGGGTTCTGTGGGTCCTGGAAGTTTGAAGTGCTTGGGGTTACACATGTTCCAGCTTTCTGGTTTCCTACCGAAACTCTGTCAACCCTTCCTCCCCTGATTCCTGGATACATCGCCAACTAGCAGGTAGGGTGTATGCAGAGAGTCTCCGTAAAGCGACACCTCACCTCACCAATTTGCCTGAAGAATTGTACTTATACTCACCCCAACCAGAATGTAAACCCCCCTGAAAACAATAATAATCAAATAGCAACATGAGGTCATAATGGCATTACTATTAACACCAAGAAAGCAATGACAACGATCGCAACCAAAGAACATTCACACAACAAATAATCGGGCAATCGCAATAACTGCAATACACATGCACAACAACCTACATCCTTTCCTTGAAAGCACTGCCCAGCCAACCTCGCAGGCTACCTCAGCGGAAAGCGGCACAGGACACCAGAGCCTTAGGCTTCAAACTGCGGAAGTGCTTCTAAGCACCTTAAATGCAATCAGCGAATGCAAATTCAATGGATCTTTTATTATGGGGTGTCCCGAACTGAAATTAAATATCATAATATGGAAGTCCCACCTTTTTACAATAGATCCAGATTATGGTAATGGAATTCAACTTCTTAGCAGCGGCCAAGACTGTTGGGTGTGCAGTGGTAGGAGAGGATCTAGTTTACGAGTTCAGCCAGCCCCTTCACCCTCCCCCAAACCAATATGGAGCCCCGGGAACCGTCCATCCAAAGTATCAGATTACATGTTTGTTTGGTTTTTCCGGCTAAACCGCGGTCAAAGGAACATCTTTGGATTTGTATGTTTCGGGGTATGTTTCGAGGTATGTTTCAGGGTATGTTTCGTAGTCTTGACTAAAGGGACGTTGTGGGGGTATGTACCGGGGTATGTACCGAGGTAATTAGGTATCGGGGTATGTACCCGAGGTGTCATTCACGCTCCTTTTCACGAATTCCTGAACCCCCCAAATGATGGAAAGACCCATTTGGGAGTGTAAGCAGCTGTAAGAAATTCACAAGACCCGGGTGCAGGCACGCCAGGGGAAAACATACCCTGAACCTAAAAATCTATCTTCCCTCATTTTGATGCCACTTTGAAATAGATTAGCCGATGGTTTTGGGTAAGCTTTCCAAGCAAAATCCTAGACCCTCGACCTTCAAGCCTTAGACCGCGTAGCATCTTGCGGTCCCAGGGGCAGGCACGTCAGCAGAGCATGCCAAATGCTGAGCATCATTTGCTTGCGCAGCATTCTCATGTTGCAAAATTATTTGGACCCCCTACAACCGAAACCCTGAAGGCCCGTGAATGCCGCACTTTTGGCGGCTATTTGGGCCAACCAGCTGCAGGTAAGGAGTCAGGGTTTAGGGTGTGGCTCAGTCGGCACCACGACAAGTTCTGCAGCCTGCACCAGGCCTGAAGTTACAGTAGAGATGCCAACGGGCCAAAGAAACCAAAACAACCAGCGAAGAGTGCGTCGCATCCTAATCAAGTTTTACTTATCTTCGGCTCTCCCCGTACCGGCCTTTCCACAGGCCTCTCTCGAACATTTGAAGTGCAACATAAATGTCTCCTGTACCGCAAAGGGATCCCAAACGCATGTTTTGCCATGTTGTTGGATGCGTCTCGTCTCTATGACCACCATGGGCGACATGCAGCTTTGAACAATGTTCCTCCAGTTGAACGAGCGCTAGTAACATTTCTGCTGTTACCGCTGGCTACTACTTCTTTCTCCACTACTGGTACAGTAAAATTACTGAAGGGACGCCTAGACTACTCATAGCAGGACAAACCGTTACCGGATTAGTGTAAGCAAGCGTAGTCAGTGTAGTCAAGCTCTTTGCAATTTTTTTTTGCAGGCTCCATTAGGATCACGAGAAGACCTGACCGGACTGATCCTGCCCTATCACAAATGACCTTGAATGGTGGACCTCGAGCTTTGAAGGACTTTTTGCGCTTGAGCGCAGCTTTGTTCTGCCCCAACTTTGGACACCGCTTCTTTGAAGACTGGTCAACGGGAAACCAGAGCACAGAGATCAGGCTGCGGAGGTTGAACAAGGGGTAGATTATGTTTTGTTACGGGCGGTGCCTCCACGAGCACGAGCAGTCAGGCTTAAAGCGCGGGGCTGATACTGATATACTTGAGCATACTTTTATCCCAACGCGTATCAGGGATGGCATGTCACGCAGGCAACCTGAAAGAGTTGCAACATCAAGAATAACAGCAGCAATGCTTGTGCCGGTGGCAGCAGTGGTAGTGACTTCCGTCGTTGTCCAATTGTCCTTGCTGAATCAAATGATTATCTTAAATCTTACTAGCAGAAAGAAATAGGACAACTGCAGGAGGAGTAGTAGCAGTAGCAGAAAAGCAACAAGTAGAATAGAAGTAACAGCAGCAAAAGCAAGAAAAACAATCACGCCAATTGCCTCGCCCGGAATGTTGTAATAATCCTGTTGCGAGCACACCTGTACGGTGGCGTTTGCGAGGATGATGGTGATGATGGTGGTGATGGTGATGGTGATGGTGGTGCTGGTGCTGGTGCTGGTGCTCTTGCTGGTGCTCTTGCTGGTGCTGGTGCTGGCGGTGGCAGTAGCGGTGGTGACACAGCCAGTTCTGGCTCGGCACAGAACAGAAAACCTCACTTCTAGCAATGTGCAACCTCCATAAGTCTGCATAGGTTGTATTTTGATCCCCGCACTTTGGCAAAGAGATTCCTTTGAGAGCTTGTCAGCAAGGGCTCTCTCTTCTGCGGATACAAGCCATGGCTAACTCAGAAAGAGTGATTTGACAAGCCCTCAGTTCAGTACAAACCGGTAGGGACTGGTTCCGACTGGAGGGTGCCAGCTTTGAGACCGCTATCTTCAAGCTGAAGCCAAAGCCGTGGTAGCCACGCGCTTGGCTGCCTGAACAACGGCTTCGCTGGTGAATCTAGCTAGAGCATTGCAGCCCTTACGCACGACTATACAGTTCCAATGAGTCAGCCAGGTTTTCAGGCTGTGCCGGGTTGGCGTCCGGAGGCAGTACATGTCTTCCGGCAAGCTCAAACCGCAAAATGGTCGGCAGCGCGAAGCTGAAAAGAATGAATCGCTATGACGTCTGTGCTGTTCTGGAGGCACACCCGCACCTCGGAATCAATGCAGATAAGAATTGGGGTAGCCACTAGGCTAGCGGTGCTCCAAGCCTCCTAGGTTTGCCGTGAGTTATCTGTCTGCACCGTGCTCTGCGAGACTGCCAGCGAGCAGCTTCCGAAGGTTTGGATTTTTTGTTGATGGGGTGACACGCTGTTACCAAATGCACGATGAGAGCTTCCATGTTTTAGCTCGCAGGATCACTTCATCCTTGCTCAGGTTTTTAACGACGACCATCTCACGGTTACCCGATCACCAGAGTCACCAGAGCATCCGCGCCCAAACCAGGAACGTCCATGTTCCAGGCACATCCAGCCAAAGCATCCATGCCCAAGGCATAAAAATGTGATTCCAGAAGCTCGTGCATCAGTTCTTCCTCTGCATGGAGCCTTGATGCTCCAGGCTTGTTTTTAGCAACTCGCACAAAACTGGCTGACGGCAAACCTGGTTCCTGGGTAGCGCAAAACTTTCACAAGAAGCCTTTCATAAAACATGGTGGCAGTGCGCCAACCACAAAAAGTTTGCCAAAATCTTGAGTAGCCACATGCTGCTTGTCCCACGAAAACACTGAGAAAACATATTGGCAAACATGGCGGTCTTTGTTTAACTCTACGGGCCGACCTGGTCTTCTATACAAATCTGCATGTTAACAGGCTCTTTGATCGTCAAGCTAGGGCTTTCTCAGCACTGCAGAAACAAAGGGTGTTCCTTCAGATCTTGGGCATGGCAGCACAGAAAATTAGCTGACCTGTCCAGAATGTGGTTCGTCAAAATGTGATTCCGCACATAGCCCAGATTGAAGATCATTTCTTCCAACTTGACTTGGGCTTGTCATGAAAAAGGGTTGCTTATCCACTCCAGAAGCTCAAAGTCCCAGACCTCATGAACCTCGTGTCTCTTGCCCGCTTCAAATATCTAGCGCGCAGCAGCCAAACCTTGCAACCCGTAGCAAGCTCCCTGATACAGCATGCACGTGATTGTTTGTCTTGATCAATGCTTCCTGGGCGCCACTGTGTTCTGGTCAGCCAAGGATGCCTTTAGGCGGTGGCTTACACATGTCTGACCATGTCTGATCTGTTGTCTAGGCCGATGGTCACGGAGGTGGGCGAGCGAGTTACAATTGTGCACTTTTATGCTTGAACAGCACGTTCTTAAAACAAGATGTAATAAGTGCGTGGCTTGTTCTGTCCAGTCACAAACAGTGGGGCTGGAATCTGATGGCCTTGATCAAGTTCCTTCTGCATTCTAAACAGAACTACGCATCAAACGCTTGGGTCAAGAGCTTTTTTTTTGCTTGTTGAAAAGCTGAAGTTAGAGGAGCCAAACTATGCCAAATCGTGTGACGCCGCCTCATACTGCAAGACCTTGAACTGTAATCCTTTCTTTCTTTCTTTCGTTCAGGCTATGGAGGCCAGAGTACTCTCACCTCCGGGCTTCACTGCCCAGCCCGTGTTGGGCTGTAATCCTCTCTCTCTCTCAAATCAAAATCTAAGCTCACGGTCCGCTCCTCGACGTCGAGCAGCTGAAGTGAGGCCAGGGTATCCCTTGGTACACTTGTGTTGTGGGCGCTCTTCAAGCTTAACATGCTTGGCCAGAAGCCGAACACTGCACCCACACCCTGCACATGCCTTTACGTAATGTCTTGGCCAGCAAGTCATCCAGCGTCAAGCAAAGTTGCTTGGGCCCAGCTTCCTCCTCCTTCTCTTCCTTCTTGCCTTCCTCCTTGCACAGCACGTAAAAAAGTGCAAGAGATCACCTGGAAAGACGTTATACCTATGCAAGCTATGCTGGTCGCTATCGTGAAGGCATGGCTGGTGGGCTGCTGAGCTGTTCAAGCCGCTATCATGATTCTTTGCTTCCTGAGCTGCGCCTGTCCTAGACATCTTGATTGTTGCTGCTTGCTCAAGCCTGAGGCTTGGGTGCTACTCAGGCGTCAAGCGACTGTGAGGCCTGGCAAACCACCAGCCAGTCACGGTCCTATCTAATGGTATTGTTGCCGTCTCCTCAGGAAGAATCGGGCTCGCCTCCACCACTTCCTCGCAGTATCCGGGCAGCTCCGTGACTTCACTTCAAAGCAAACGCAAGCTTCTTCAAACAAGCAATGGCTTGCTTTTCTATAAAAAATGGCCTCAAGTTCTTGCGGAAGCAATGTAGCCTGGCATGGAGAAGCACTTCTGCATGGTGGAAAGCCCACCACATACTTGAAACCCCAGCTGAATACTTCTGAAGCAGTTCAAACCGTGACCTTTCGAAGCAATTTCTTCCGAGTCTTGATTAAATCTTAGGGACTTACATCAAGCACAGCGACCTCTGCGATGACTGCAGCGACCCAACCTTCATCTCTGCCACGATACACGTCCACCTGCCAGATACAAAGTAGTGCAGTTTGTGCTGGAAGTTTCCTCATTGCCCTTCTTCGAGCGCTCTAATTTGACGATGAGCCCACGGCGCGCAGCTGCATTGCACAGCAGCGCAGGTGCCATCAGGTAGCCAAACGAGTAAACCAAACTTGCAGAACATTTTTTGGGACGTCTACCAAATGCCTGCACTTGCAGATGTTGCAGGCGCTTGTGTCCCTCTTTTACGAAGAAGTAGAAGTTGACTAATCAGAAGAAAAGCTGCTACGAAGCTGCACAAGACCCCCGCTGGCTGGGTCCGCGCTCTGAAGAGTTCTGGCAACTGCGCCGCCTCCTCCCCTTTCTTGTAGACTCTGCGCAACAAATGCAAAGGTACATCCAGGAGAGTGTGCGACTCCTCCTGCAGAACAACTCGGAGCTTGGTGATCATTGAACATGCTACGCCGTACGCCCTGACATGCTCAGTGCATTCTTGCCACTCTTGCACTCAGGTCGTTTTGATGCCGGCTTGCAGAGCTGTGCCCTTGTTGGAGAAGTCTTGTGACATGTGCAGAGGAGGGCGCCAAAACATCCGAAACATGAGTCTGCGACCCCTCCTTGTCAGATGTCCCTTTACTTAACATGAGCCACAGCCAGTTGCAACGAAATCCCTGTCCAGCAAGACGCGGAACGTCGAAGTGTGTGATTGCAGGTGCATCGGCGGCTGCGAAACTCGAGCTTTCAGCCAATGGCTGTGATGCCTGGCCAGGGGATCAAGCTTTCGAGCGCAAGC